TTTGATTCACCTTTTATTGTTTATTTTATTTTCACTTACTGAATATGGGACAGACAAATTTAGATCCTTGCAAAACTTCACTTTGAACTCCACAATTTAAGCACTGAAAATAATTACTGGATATGGAAAAGATTTAACCATGTGAGGTATAAGTTATCATTGGTGACAGACCCAACTCTCCTTTACTGGCTATAATGACATTTTTAAAAAGAATGTCTTTTCAATCAGTCTTGTCTTGGCAGGATGTGTTCTTACAAATGAAGATATTCTGCATTTAAAAAAAAAAAAAGAATTTTAGCCCTCTCTCTTTTAGGGACTTCTGAAAAAGGGTTATTTTCAATTTTGGTAACAATTAGCTGTTTCTAGCTGCTTGTAGATAAGGAAAGACACTATGCCACTTTACTATCTAGAGAGATAATCAACCATGTCAGTTGCAACATGTATCCACCCTTTCTTGGTGTGAAGTGATATTCTATGATAAATGTATCAATGCTTTGTACTACTTGTCTACATCCCTTTAATTATTTCTGTATAAGGACAAACATGGGTTTATAACAAATAACACAGGCACGTATAAAAATCTACTCTCAAAAAGTGGTCGTAGTTTTACCTTGATCAAGCCGTATTTATCTCACCTCTGTCACATCACACTTTCAGTACAATTTGAGCCCATCTAAAACAGCATAATACTGCCCATCTTTCACTGATTACCCTATTTTGTCTCTGGGATTGCAGGTATCGCCATAGCCAGTGCACTGGTCGACACGTCACAGCAGCGAGTGATGGACTTAAAAGAAAGAGCCCTGGGTCTGAAGCACCGCAAACACATTGTGCACCATCAAGGGACCTGTGTATGAACTATGTGCCCTCAACGAGGTACCACCGCATCCAAAACGTCCAAAGGGGAATTTCACTGGACACACTATTTTTGACTTTAGACACAATGGAGAATTGTGAACACAAAGGCAAAGCCTGCAAAAAAAATAGGGTTGGATGATCCTTGACCTTAAAGTGGTTTGGAAAGAGGACAGATATGGATTGAAGCATACAGATGGGGCGAAACTACTCTCTTCACAGGCACCCAAAAGGGGTAAATGGTACTTGTAGTCTTATTCTTCCTTGGACCAGATACAAGGTTTTTGTCATTGTCCCTCGTCTGTATATTTTCAGAGAAGTACTTGCAAAGTGAGAATGTCTCTCCACCACAGCTTTCTTTGAAATTTGCCACGACGAGCTGGCAGACCTTTTCCATTTTCATGCCATGTGGTTTTGTCTCTCCCGGGTTCTACAGTCTGCCATATTGACAGAGAAAATAAAATAGAACTTGTTTTTCACCAAACAAAACTAAATGACTTTGACCTCCAGTCAAAAGATATTGATAGTTGATATAAAGTCCTCCTGATTTACAAACCCAATGAGACTCAGGAGCAAAACCAGTAAAGAAGAACACCGATTTAACTAGATAATTGCAAAAGTCTTTAGTTGGCGGAGGTCTATTACAATGATTCACTAGAGGAAAAAGTTTCATTTGCTAATTTTGAAGTTGTGAATTCAAAGAACTGCATTTTTGCTATGAAGCTCATTGGATGCAAGTAAAAAAAAAAGTGTTTTATGAAATATGTGTGGTTTGTTTTTCCCTACACAGTTGAAGTTATAGGTTTTAATATCTGCTCAGGTCCTCTGTGATGAAAAAGGTCCATTATCTGTAGCTCTGGGCCTTATATACACACATTTGTATATGCACTATAAGTGAAATGCTTTACCCGTACATTAGAACCCTCTGTGGAATTTTATTATGCAACTGATCTTCCAAACATGATGTTTATTCTGGGCTGCGATGTAACCTCAAGGTCGGTATCACACACAAACTACTGATGGTGTTCATATGCCTTTTTTATTTTTTCATTACTGTGAAGCTACCATATACATCCTCCCTCATGATATTTCAAGTCTGTTTATCTGTAACACAAACTTTAATATAACACATCTCAGTATATATTATTTATTAAAAATGCAAAATGCGGTTTAACATTTTTTAATTAACTCACAAATTTTTGTTTTTGTTTTCTTTTTTTAAACAGAAACTGTAGATAATTAATTTTATAAAGGAAGTCTGTGCAGTAATCACATTTCTTTGCTTGTGCCCTCAGTGTCTTTATTCATTTCTAACTCTTTATTTTGTACATCACAGAACGTTTCATGTGATGTTAAGATGCTTTCCCTTTATCTCTCGTATCAAACCTCCATTTAATGTTGTAAAGTCACCTTTATCAGCTGCACTGCATACAAAGTAACATGATGTCTTGATGCACATGTATTACCTACTGTTTTCTTTCAGGCATTTTGATGTAATTTTGCACCAATTTGTTGCTGAGATTTGGATTTACAAAGGGCAGCTCACCACCGTGTATTTGTCCATATGAGCATTAAATCTGCACATTTACAATTTAAAAAGAATAAATGCTTCTTTGTGTTGATATTCAGTCTGAAACTGTGTGTACTGTTACCTCTGGTGTTGGGAAACCGCATTGATTGGTGTTCTCAGGATGTCAGTCAGGTCGAATGACAAGATCAGCCAGAACTACAGACAGTGTCATCCAACACTGTTTCTAGAGTTACATAACGACTCTCACAGCATCCTGTGAAACAGAGTAAAGTTAACGTTACTTTAAACGTAATGTATCGCAGAAAGATGGTGTTGAATTTCCACGATTTCCATGTGCTATCAACATCCTAGGTATCTAAAGCACCCCTGCTTTACTAATATGTACCAAATCTAATTATTAAAGGCTTCATTAAGTTAGAACTCCTTTTTATAAAGTGGATTCCACAGGCCTACCTAATATAGTGGCCACTGAATTGTTTTCTGTTCTCTGTCTCTGTTTTATAATGTCCCTGGTTACAACCAACACTGCCTCCTATTTGTCATAATGTGTGTGCAAAGGGGGGACATCGAGAACAAGCACTTCCATTACATTTCTCACCATACAAGCCAAATGACCTGTTTAATATACAAATTAAACAATAACTGCATTCCATCCATGTGTACCTCCCTGCCAGAGCATCACAGTAAGATGTTGTTTAATAAAACCTGGATATGGCTCAACATTTGTACAAATACTATCGTTTTAAAATAAATCCATGTCTCCTTCTGCTGCACTCATAAATGGCTCCTGTATGCTTTTAAATCGACTATGGATTATATCCCTTTGTCATAAAGCGGTGGGGGTTGCTTGTTGAGGTGATCCCAGAATCTTCTGAATTAGACACTTTTATGCAAATGTGGGGCTCTAAACAGAAGAAAATGCCAAAATATATCCTTTCTAAGGAAAAGCCGTGGGGGATCTAGTGGCTACACTGCTCTAATGCCTGGATGCATTTCAAGATCATTCACAGTCGGTAATACAGAGGTAAAGACATCCAGTTAAACAATGTTTTCATGTCAGTAATCATTTATATATTCCTTCTTTTACCTTAAAATAACCTTAAGAACTACCAGTTTATTCCACTGGGCATTTCTTTCATGTTTTTTAATGTCATATTTATGTCTAATCAAACAACTACATTAGGGTGTACACCTTCATTGGACCTTAATTGCAGAAAACTATGAACAAAGGCGTAATTGTTATATTAATAGAAGCAATTTAACATGCTGTTTGACTGTTTCCTTTGAAAATCTCATCTGGAACTTGAAAGCCCTCTGAACATTACATTGGGTCAACGCTGCTGCTGTCACCACCATTAGTGACCAAGAGGAGATAAGTGCTCCTTTTTATGCTCTTAGCTCACTGTATTTTCTTCCCTCAAGATAAAAGGCTACAGTATTTAACATTAAGTGGATTGCTGGCATCTCCACTCCGCTCAATACCCAAACGTCAGGGGCAGCAGGAAGTGGTTCACTTTCCCTTTTATCTCGATCTGAGATGTTTTTGAACTGGTTCTGAGTATGAAGAGGGCCTGTGTTTTTAGGGTAAAGTCAATGTAAGAAGCTCAATAAATGACTGACATCCCCCACCACGACAACACGCAGCACCAAACAGAATGCAAACATGCAAAGTGTCTCAAGAAAGAAGGGACACCTGTCTAAGCAATAGCTTTCTGCTACTCTTAAGCTCAAACTGCTTTACAACTTATACATGCAATTTACCTGTCATACACCCAGGAGGATAAGATGGGTAGGAAAACAGACAACAAGAAAACACATATAATGTATGCTTGAATATATACATGCACAGTGACTTAATTACCAGTGAATAATGATTATACGCCATCTGATTATATGCAACACATGTATTCTCAGGTTATATTTCACACCTAACAGAAGACAAATGGAACTAAAAGCTGATCCATATTTTGACATTTGGCTACACAATACCATTGGTACTTCACATATGATTTGACATTGAATACATTATAGAAAACTGCCACAACTATCATGTCAATTATTATTAAGATAGCTCTCTGTCACTCACTGATGACATCAAAAGATTGCTATCAGCATGCCAGTAACAGAAGGTTTTCCGTAACAGAGCCTTTTTAGCATCATTTAGGGTGTCATTGGATAGCCCAAAGTGATGATTAAAAGGGTTAAGGATGCAATGTATTGATAACAGCCTCCTTTTTGAAGCCAACTACAACTGTTAGTCGGCCTCACAGCTGCTCAATAAATGACTGTTTGCCACGGTCCTTGAAAACTGAGGTTATCCAATTATATCTTGATGCATCCTCAATTATCCAGGTAAGTAAATCCCAAAAGGTTGATTCTGATCATCTTGACATAAAGTTTTCAGTGGTAGAAACGTTTCTTCACTCATCCAAGTGGCTTGTTCAGTCTCGGCTGACTGCGGGTTTCCCCAATCTTATAAACAGTACATTTCCATAATTACTGAAACCAGCCCACTGAATGAAAAACGGGCTGTGAGGTCAGTTCCTTGATCATTAATATGCAAATTTTCATGACCATTGATCAACAACCACTGATCAAAGACCACTGATCAAAGACCATGAGTACCATTCACAGAGAGTTGGGGAATGGCTGCAATCACATCATTGTAAGATGGTGAAAGTAGCCTTACGCCTCCTCCTCGATTCAGAGATGGTCTTTCCCCTCGCATGTTTCTGTGGTTTCTTGTTTTCAGTGTGCTTCAAACCCAAAAACACGATGTCCCAGCTATAGCAGCCGGATAGCATAGTGGTAAGACCACATGTGTTTCGCGTGGGGTTCGCAAGTTTGATTCCTGCCTTGTGCATCTGTATCCAGTCCTGTATCCTCATGGCTAAAGATTGATGAATTACAATAGACATGCTAGGGCAAGGGGGAGTCAGGACAACAGGTCGGGGGGGGGGATATGATCACCCACCAGTGGATGAGGTTAGCCAACTTCGGGGCCTTAGAGGTGGTAGTTATATTATTAGTTTGAGTCCTATTTGTTACTACAATACCTCCCAAACATGTGCTCTTGATGCTCAAGCTTAAATATGATAACTTATCATTAAAAAAAAAAAAACTGCTACTACTTAAATCCCCTTTGTTAACTTTTCAGTTTTATGTCAGAGATGATTTTCAGCTGGGTGGAGATAAAGTTTCTAATTTAGAAAGCTCAAGGTCTAAATTTAAGACATAAGTAGAACATTTAGTCTGAAATGAGTCTTCTATTAAATTAGCAAAAATCAATCACACATCACCTCTGCCAAGTCTGCATTTTGTCACATACACACACAGTCTCTGTTAGGAGCCTAGTGCACACAGTGCAACGCTCTAATACAATGTCCTCGTGTCCTTTTCAGAACATGTTAAGTAATAAAACTGATTACTTCTTAAGGTCAGAACTCTGGTTTTTCTCTTTTCTCCTTCAGCTTCCCCATCTCTCACTTCTGTCTCAATGCACCATCTCTGCTGCCCTCTTCCTGCCTCCTTTCTCACATCCGCTTGGCGTCACCTCCTTCTTGTTGAGGACTCAGGGTCAGCTGAGCCACATCCTTGTGATTGATGCCCCGTCCAGACCTCAATCTTTATGCCATTACGGGCCAATTGTGGCGGGTAATTCAGGCCACAGTCTGAGGACGAGTAACCGAGTCAGGCAGATGAGGGTAGGGGGTGGGTGGGGAGTGACGAAGGATTACAAAGCACACTGCTGTCCTCTGTCCACCTCCCTCCACACACACATAGGCGTGTGCGCACACACACACACAACCAAACCAGCGACCAGCCAGTAAGTCAGCCAGCCTCAGTGACGCTGTGAAGAATGTTGGCCCTGTCAGAGTCGTCCTTTACTCAATACCACCACGCACTGCTCTGTCATAAGTGGCCTTCTGCACTAACAAAGAGAGTATTTTTTTCCCCTCAGCACACAAAGTGCAATGATGTGGATGAAACAGGAGTGAAGCTATTGATGCACTATATCAGCTTAATTTTGTGAGCAATAACCAGAGAGACAATAAGCAGGAGGGTCAGCTGACAGGTCGAGGTGACCGGTTTCCTGCTTTGTCAGAGTTTAACTTCAGAAAGAAAACATTTTGTGTCATCGTGTAATCTGTGTTCCCTCTTGTTCTATCAGTTTGTCACCCAGACTGACTTTATGTAATCATCTAAAGTTATTCAAACTTTTCTCTAAATAAAAAAGCTAAGTTAAAAAAAGTTCAGACGGATACAATCTTTATATGATTTCTATATTTCTGTTCCATATGGGGTAGCACCATATGACGATCCTATATACCACCTGTCTTCTCAAATCTGCTCTGTTTACACTCAAATCTGCCTGACAGAAGAACAAGCCTCAGCATTATGGTCTGTGTAGGTTCTCAGTCATCCAGGACATGGTAGTCTAAGAGCTTGGGGAAAAAAGCGACTGGACTTTCCCCTCCAAGGCTTGGCATGGAGCACACTTAAGGGTTTGTGGTACAAAAGGGTAACCGTGGAACATGCAAAGAGGAGGCTATTAAGCAGGAGAGAGTAAGACACCCAATATCACGGCAAAGTATGTCATAGTCACGCCGTCTCTTAAGTGTGAAATGAACACATATGCTTCAGTTGCAGATTATATTTCAGCAAAACAAAACTTCAAATCTTATTCAAGCCAACATGAAAATAGTCATAGGAAAGCATAAACAGACTGAGGAGCTTGGGAAAAAAAACGACTGGACTTCTAACTTTTTTGAACAACAGAGCTCTGGTTCTTTAGACTACCATGCCATGGATGAGACTGAGAACCTACACAGACACATTTAAAGAGACATTACTAACACATTTGCATATAAATTCACACCAGCCACCTAGCTTTATTGTTTCTGGCTTAAAAGGAGCTTGGAATTTATACCTTCCTTGGTGACTAGTGGCTTGTTGGCTTTAAATATATTATCTCCCTATGCTGGTACTGCAACTTAAGCATGCGTGTCCATTTCACTCTTAGGAGAGACAAAGCGTGACATGTACACAACGAGCCAGCGTGTCTACTGAATACTGAGGAGTCTAATGAGGTTTAATTAAAATGCGTCACCATAAAGTTTTGAGATCAAGAATTCTTACACTGTATTGTTGCAGAGATGTTAGAATCGTTCTCGTTTTCTTGGTTTTAGTTTCAGTTAATTCCAAAGGATTTGCTTGTTTCCCCTTTGGATTTTAATGTTTAGTATTTATTAATTTCTCTTTTAGCTTTTTTGCTAATACTATAGTTCTGCATATGTTAGATGGAAGGTGTAGAAAGAATTTGTATTACACACTTGTATGAAGGCCTGTTAATTCACTGTCATGGCATCCACTGATGCCCCCTCAGACTGGTTGTGTTTACAAACACAGCCAAGCAGACAAAGACCAAAACAAGGATAGTTTATATACACTTCTATTTATTTTTGGAAACCAGGGGGTATTCTTTCTTTTTATGACTCTAGCGTCAACATAAATTGTACTAAAAAACCTTTGAAGCTGCTGTGCATCTGCAAGCCACTTTGCAACCCTTCTTGCAATTGCTGACTTTTACACTGTCATATCCATTTTAACCGATGCCTGCTCTGTGCTGATCTTGTTGCTGCCCCCCCCCCATCTTTACGTCTATGCATGTAGAAGGCAGTAGGTGCCAGAACAGGACATTTCTCCAAAATATTAATTAATATAGGTCAATAATACACATTACAATGTTCTCAAACCCCAGTGCCAAGTCCTAGAGGCCAGTCTGTGACCCCCTGGCAACCCTAAATCCTTGTGATCTCTAGCAACTAAAGCAATGAAGGAGAATCCACATTTTTTTAACCAGCAAACTTGGTTGCCAGGTGGTCGCAAAGTGGTCACCCACTGGTCTGTATAACTTGTGACTGGGACATGAGAAGACTGTTATTTGTTTTGTTATTTATTTACTTATAATTATAAAATTATAAGTAAGTATACTTATATTAATAAATATTCAGGAGCATAATTCTGGGACCAGCCTACCTCGTATAACACCTGACTTAACACATGAGTTTATCAGTAGTTTGTTGACATACATTTTTTCTTCTTCTTCTTTTTGATCTCTTAAAATGTTTATTCACATCTCACTAACACACATTATTGGTTGTTCTGTCTTACAAGAGAATTAAAGTTACAAACAAAATGACCAATTATACCGGGATTATAAAGACGCACAGATGATTACGACAAACACATCTATTATTATCTATTTATTATTATACTGAGAACCTTCACAGACATCTATTATTATTCATAACCTATTTGTCACAGGGACATGAATTGGCCACACAGGAGTTTACTGCACTGCAGTGCAATTCCCTCGTGATACATTAATAGCTGTTAATTCATGCTGGTGTCAGGAGACCTGGTGTGTTTATGTTAAGTTTTATGATCCTCTTATAAACTGCCCATTAATGAATAGAGCTTTTGTATCGATGAACTATAAAAATGGATAATATCAGGAGCCTTGTTATGAGTGTGAGCGAATGAGGCTGCAGGATGATTGTCAATTCTAACAATGAGTCTGGTTCAGGTTTATTCTGGTTATTATTCATATGCATCACCTATCTTAAAAGTTATTGATGCTAAAGTGAAAGTGTTTATTGTACCACAAATCTCTATAACATGTGTGCCTAGAGAAAGGAAGGGCAATGCAAGAGTGTGTAGAAACCTTACCTGTGTTGAACTCTGGAAAGGTCGAGTCAAAGAAGATTAAAATGTTATCTGGACCTATCAAGGTGGATGAGTTGGAAAACAAACAATCCAGTCAGTTCTTATGAATGCAGAAAACACAACCATCTGTAAACACGCTTTAATGCTGTAAATTTGGTCATTTTCAACATGTGGTTGAGAGGGGATTGACTCCAATTTGGTGGCTACATGAACTTTTAGCACCTCCATGTTGGCTTCATGCTTCATCTGTGGGGGTTGTACCTTGATCCTAACAAATGACAAATTCTGTGGCCACAAATCAGAAACCAGTCCAACAACTAGTAACTGTTTGAGAGATGAGGCTGAGATGGAGATCTACTTTGTCTCGAAATTAAAACATTTTTAAGAAGATCAAATCTAAACTGTAGTTTCAGATTTCATAGAACTTAATGACCTCTAAAAATGAAAAATGTCTGAGGAGGGTCAGATAGGACACCTCCTGTTGCTTAATATATACAAAGATATTACAACCTGAGGGACAGAACTATTATTTAATGGGAAGCATCTTCATTTCATCTCAGCCAATATGACCAAGCAAATCTCATATAAGACTTTCACACATTAAGGAAACACACAAAAACATGTGCAGAAAGCTTCTACACTAAAAGAACTTCCAAATGGCACCTAGCGAGGTAACCATGCAGATTTTGGAGCCAACATTCAAAATTTAGATTGTACCCATGGCCACACTCTAAAGTCAGTAACTATCATGCATTCTTTGTTTCTTCATTCAAAACAACACATTTTAGCTTGCAGTAGGTTTATTGATTTGGACCTATTTGTAAGCGCATCCATTTAGTTTCCATATGTATTTATACCAATTCATTTCTTTTTTGCTTTGTGACTAATCATTGATTCTCTTACCTGCCATGAGCCCTGGGAGTTGCCAAACAAAAGATGGCAGCCAGGGTTTAAAGCACTTAAATACATATAGGGGATGATTGGACCGCACCACCACTTCCTGCTGAAGGGGGAGAATGTGTATTTTCTTTGATTTAAAAAAAAGCTTTTGTATTTGATTCAATATTTGTCTTTAGGGTTTAGTGGTTTTGATTTTCTTCTTTGGTGTTTAATTTATTGACAAACTGGACTGCACTGCATCGTTTTTGTTGTTTACGACTGTGTTTTGTTTAGTTACCCCCTGTTGCGTCATAGTGGTCTGACCTGCCTTGTGTGTCATTTCCTGTTTAGGTTTGGTTTGTCAAGTTCCCAGTTTCGTTTCTTTGACCTCTTTTATGAGCTCAACATTTATTGTTTTGTAAATATAACTTTTTGGGTTAAATAAATGAAAACCCTCTTTTTCTAATAAGTCCACAATGCAACAACTGCAAAAAGAAAGCAAACAATCACCTGGAAAAAAGCCATGAAATGACCACAACTACCATAATTATCTTTTTTTTTTTTTTTTTTTTCCGCCTGTCCCATTTGGTTCTTTAGCCATCAGAATTGTTGTCTGAAGACCAACAAGGATACCCAATGGATTTAACTACCATAATTATCAAGTCAAGTAAATTCTAAACACTCATTGAAAAACAAAAAGAAAAGTACAGAATTTGCCTGTGCAGTAATTCAAGCATTGTGTCAGTCCGGTCAGGCTAGGACGTCACGTCTAGAGGCAGATTTGCTGTGCCTACAGTTGCTGCAAATCTGCAAACTAATTTGCAAGGCATCTCTACACCGGCCATGTTGCTGTGCAGTTTCTGACTTAAACGCCATACCTGTTGTCACTGATGCCTCCTCTAATATTTGCTGGGTTTTGCTAAAACTCCCAAAATCTTACTAAATATATACAGTGTCACCTTAGATGGAAGTATTAACCTTCTTTTGAATATAGTGGTCCTATGTTTCATTTCTATTCTCTTAAAAACAAATCAGAATGATTCAAGATTTTGATGAAAATCTCTTGTGGAAATGACACCTTTGTATCCGCGCTAGGACCAAATTCTAGTTCACTAAAATACGCGGTCATTAACTTGATTTTGAGAGTCAATTCTTAACTAAAATGAGGTGAAGCTCATTCTTGTCGATTTTATGAATGATGAAATTTGCATCTATAGCCAACCACTGTTCTTATTCTAAAGTTATTCCATTTTACTGCACAGAAGCCAGGTGATGCCTGCTTGTGCCCCACAGCTTTAATCACAGCACATTCATGAATGCCGTTCCACAGTATGAAAAAAATGGCTTTAATGACTCTTAATAGGCTCAATTTCTGAATGTGAAACGTTGCCTGCTATCATATATCATATTTTCCACATTTACTGGATTTTATTATTTGATAGCTGTCTTTACAGTTTTGTTTGGAAGCTGCAGGTGGAGTGGGGACTAATTTTAGTCATGTATTTATGTGACTATTTTATAGTCTATATTGTGACTTTCAGATTCAGCACCACCTGCCCAGGGGCTCGTCCATGTAAAGTAAACTGGGTAGAAAGAGACTTACAAAGGGGAGCTATAAGGTTGAGATTTATTATTTTAATTGGTACCATTCCAACATGTTAGATTTTGGTGCTTTGGTGTTTTCATTAAACATTAAACTTTTGTTTTTAAGCATGTCTCACACCTCAGTAATCCACACTTCTCCTCCAGGAAGTAGAAAGAAAATGTCACTTTTAATTGTGTTATCTGCTCTTTGTACCCCCTCAGGGTGGAACAGAAGCAAAGACAAGTTTGTAAAGTGGACAGAACTGAAGGGTAAAGTATGTTTTTGGAACAAATTAAGTCTTTCCACTTGAGGCTGCCATATTAATTACATCATTGTAGTTATTCTACTGTATATTCTGCTTGATTCTCGGACATCGGAAATGTCAATGCAAGACTAATCTTTGAAGGAAATCTGAATTGCCAGGGTGAAGAGAAACAGCCAGTATGATTCAACTTGTTTCTTTTTCCACAAATGGACTCCAGATGAAACAGATTATAAAATAAATAAGTTAACCCAATAGTAAATGAATGTAAGCAAACCCACAAACAGTAACAGATCTAGAATCCCCACTGTTCTTTTACCATGTAAGTGAAACAGCCTTTATTTTAAACTGATGTAAAACAAAAACATCAGTTTGTTCTACAAAATAGATTTTTCACTAGATTTGCAAAGTAACTGGTACAGTAACCTAGATAATAAAGTATAGTTTAACAGGGATTTTGGAGGTTGTGCATGGTGGACCTCGACAGCAGAAAGTGGATTAGCACGCACAGCAGCAGCTCTAGATAGCCGAAGTGGAGTTCAGTAGACTGTATAACAAAAAGTTGGGTAAACTGCTAGTGAAATAAATACATTTGAATAAATATCAATAGTAGTAAGAGTTTCCATTAACTGAGCAGGCACAGTTTTGTTTTGTATGTGGATGTCTGCAACTTTGATACAGTAAAGGAATAAATAAATGACATCTGTGTTGAAACTGGATATGGAAATGTATTCTTTTGTTCACGTACACTTTACAAATGCTGAACACAAACTTCAGACCAGAAATGAGAGTCAGCAAAGGAGTGCACACTTCACTTATAACTTTGTGAACTGGTCTCCTTGGCAATAGTAAATAAATAAATTACTGAAACCATTACATTTTCTTTCTGCGTGTATGAAATTTGTTGTATAGTTAATGGCTGCACATAAAGAGTGACTTGAACACAGTGGTAGAGAACGATGTCCACGGATCACCTTATTTTAGGCATTAAAAATACTGTGAGTCAGATATTTTTTGCAGCTTGTTGCATTAAGTGATGTGGCATTTATGTTCACTTCCCCAAATTAACAAATTCTTGGCTAATGGGTTTCCAACTGCAAACGCTTAACACAGTGCTTGGTATTAATGGGTGAGGATGTGCAGTTCACTTAATGGAAGAGAAAGTAAACTCAAATGTCAGACTAATTTGATGACATTTGATGACGATGCACACAGCAATTTCCCCCATCGTGCTTTTCTATAATACAATAATGTTTTATTCATATTGCTTAAAATGCATCTGCAGATGTGCCCAATGCCAACTATCAACTCCACTTTTATGACACATTTAGCCATAACTGGGAGCTCGAGGGCCAGTATTTACCTGTTCGAAGGATTTTTTTCAGCCCACTTTCTGAATCTCTGCTACAGAAGTGCTCCAAAGCACTAAGTATTTGGAAACCTTTCGTGAAAACCGATTCAGAAAGGAGGTGGAAATGAGGAGGGACAGACAAAAAGTGAAATGCTGGAGGAAGTTTGGCCTCACAGTGCAGTAGGTCAGTTTTTTTGTGCTTTTTCTAAAGTGTTTTCTTGGTAGGGAAATTTTAACAGTGCAAGGTAATTTCTTTATGCAGTTAACGTTACACTCAAGTGTTTCCAGAAAATCAGCAATAAGACCACTCGAGTCAGGTGCTTGAGTCCAACCCACATATTAATGACTCCTTAAGGATTATTAAGTGCAGTTGACATGAATATTTCCTTGCTTAAAAACGCCAAAAAAAAAAAAAAAAAAGCCAAAAAGTCCAAGTCTCGGCATGTGAACCATACTTCTGGTCATTAAATTATTTAAAATAAATAATGGCCCCCAAAGCCGTTGAATGGAGGCTCTGGTGTCGTAGACTCAAGATTTTGTGCTTAGAGCTTTTAAATACCTAAATAAGATGTAATTGATCAAAATGCTGCACATTATCTGTACAAAAAAAATATCTACAGGAGTATGGATCTTGCCTTCTTTCTTTGAAAGTTTTTCTTAAAGTCCAGCACCTGCCACAAAGGTCTCTGGGATGCGTGTACCCTTTTGTTCGCCGCGGTTCTGTTTCTCAGCACGGTGCCTTGGATAATATAGTATTGCTGTGTGCTCACTCGGTCTGCTGTGACCCCTCCTCCTCACACCAGTTGGTCAAAGCTAAAAAATTGTGCGAAACCTCAGATGACTCTTACTTTATCTTTGGGTTTCCTCTGGCTTGGTAACCCAGGGTCAGCTGCATTAACACACATGATCTTATCGGCCTCTCTGGATCACCTCACACGGCCTCAATGTTTCTTTAATCCTGCCCGCCTCACCTGCCTTTCCCACGGGCCCGGTGCCTACCTTTCATGTTTCCACAGTGAAATAACATCACATACAAGCAGTCTGGGTGATTTAACAGTTTTTAATTATAACTTTTTGTACAACAGATTTTACATTTTCACAAGCTAAGAAGTTGATGATGCCACATAGCTAAGGGAGTCTGCAAACTCAAAATCAAAAAAAGCTGGTATTTCTGGTATTTCAAAAGAACAAATGGGACTGTGAAGGACAGCAAATATTTTTACCATCTCTACTGTTTGTTTGGTCCAAAAGTGGGGATCCTTTCATTGTGAGGAAGTGTCCCCAGTTTTGAGGCCTTCTGTGATCAGAAAGCACTGAGTCACTCTCATATTCCAAAGACCACGAAGACATGGCTCTGGGATTCAAATATAAAATGATCACACATACTCTAAGACACAGTTCTTAGAAATGCAATCAGTCCTAGGCAGGGCTTTTTGTAAAACAACAACTAATAAGATTTATCTTTAACTTTCCATCCAAACAGACATTCAGTTTGTGGGAATCATCCCACGTCCCCAACCATCTTCAAACACACCATAAAAAAATCCTTCCAAAGCATGGTCCGGAATATATTTGTCCTTAAATATTGATTTCTAACACCATGCAATGAGTTTTCTGTGTTCCTTAACTTCAGCATAGAAAAGAACCATTTAAATCTTTAGCAGGTCCATCTCATTAACTTCAACTCATCAAAAGAGCACAAATTAGTAAAAGATAGAAAAATAAGTGTAATTTTTATCCAAACAACAAACAAACAAAGAAAAACCTGTCAACACTGCATTTTAGCAACGTCATAAATGGGGCTATGGTACAAAACAGTATGCTTAGGAAATACAGCGGTTTTTAAGGTACAGTAAGAGAGTGATAATGATATCCTCTGCCTCAGATGCAATAATATTCCATAATCATGTACATACTGAGAGAAATATACATTTAAGTTGTTATAAAAAACAATATTCTGGCTTATTCAATGTACTCTATGTTGTATCTGAATGTCAAAATAGCTCACAATGCTCTGAAATAGAATATTATCAGACATTTATTTGTCCAATTCATAGTTTCAGCCAAGTACATACAGTGCATATACCATGTTTATGCTCGGTAAATAACATTAAAGTTCTACTATACATTAGTTGTGTTTTGAGAAGCGACATAAACCTAAGCAGCGAGTGATGAGTATCTTGTCAGTGGCTAGTGCTGAACATGCCACAGAGATGTGTGTAAGTATCCCGATCACAGAGAAATCTGTCAAAATTAAAAGCTAAGATTTTATTTGCCTCCAATGGAAAAGCTGGAAAAATGATGCCACAATGCCGTGTTTTTCCTTTTTTAAATTTTTCCAGTAGTCATCCAAAGTAGACGCACAAAACCATTAATGATTTCCATATAGATCAGAAGACAAAAGTAACCATTTGCTAAACTCCTGCCTGTGCTTAAGGTGTCAAGCTTTGAAGTCTGTTCAACATGGCAAAGTGGTGTTCGTCACAAAGAGCAATTTAACAATATTTGAAAAGTAGGAAGGGTGGCATCATCTCTTGACTCTAATGTTCCATTTCAAATACCTAAATCAACTCTTAAGTTGATATTCTTTATAATTCAAATTAGAAAATTATCAGGTTATTAACAACTAACACTGTCAGATCAGGACTCTTTGCCCTCAGGAGCATCATCCACGGAACATTTACCAAAGTTAGCTCTCATTCTCAAAACTGTTTCTAGTTTTCCAAGTTTCTAATGATGACATATTAGAACAAAATAATTTGTATTTCCACATCTGCTAAATGCATGCTCACGGTTTCCCTGGAACCACAATAGGCTGTCTATTGTGTGTGCGTCTTGTTTTAAAGCAGCTTGTACTGAACTTTGGATACTTTCTTGTTATTTATTTGTTTGTTTTTGGAACTAGAAATGACAGATTAGGACCACAGAGTCAAGTGCTAAGCTGTTAGCTAACACTAACAAGTTTTCTTAGGAAGGTGCACCCACAGACTGAACTGTCACACTGCACAGACACATATACCTGTTGATAATATTCAAGTAATATACAACTAAAAGATGAGAGCTTCCCTTATTAAAACTGGAGCACAGAGTTAGTGGACAGACTATTGGCCAAATTAACCACACAGGAATCTTATTTAATAAGTGATCACACTAGAAATGCTCCAAAAGGTAACACCACCAAGAATATGGCCGAGGGGTCAAGTTCAGTGACCTGAATTAGCTGAGGTGAAGGCTAGCAAACATCTAGCATATTTCAGGCAAACAGCACAGCTTATATTAGGAAGCAGAGTTGGCGTGTAGCCTGCAAATGTACAACAAAAACCCTCATTTGAGGTTCTCGTTCTCTAACCAGTAAATGTTAATTATGTAAATAAGCTTGTTAGTTAGAGATTATAAAGTATCTGTGACAGATCTTTGCTACTTAAAATGAAGAGGAAATTCTGCCTCTTTTATGTCATTTGAAACTCACCATACTGGAATTAATTAGCAACAGTGACTACGGCTTATGGGGTTTAGCAAATGGTCAGCTTAAATTTAACATTTCCTCTCTGAACATGCTTTGACAGTTTTACAATTGAGGCAATAAGTTGTAACACAGAAGTGACAGAAGACGATGTACTGATGGATGCATGAGTTAGTGCTGATTACACTCTACAGCAGCAAGCCTGCTTTTTGTCAGCTCTGGTTTTTGTGGGCTCGATGCAGTGGCGTTCATCTAAGCAAAAAGGAAAATTCAGGTAAAACTTTAGCAGCTTCTCTCTTACCTTCTCCAAAAGAAACATTAAACATGGTTTGGACAATTGCAAGTATGTACAATCACTAACGAGTGGAGTGGATTCAGCCGTCCACAGCAGCGTCCCGACCTGTGATCGCTGAGCAACACGCCGTTTTATAAAGTGAAGAAAGGGAGCCGAAAGCCTCGGACCGAGTGTGTTGCTGTGTGTTTCTGTCTGACTGTGTGAAAATGTGCATCAAGTGTTTGTGGGACTTTGCCTGTGTGCTTCTGCCAGCGGCAATCTGTGTTCAGTATGAGCTACAATAAAAACAGTTTGGGCGCTAAACTTCTCTGATGTTTTAAGTTAATGTATTTTGTCCTAAAAAAAGAAAATGACTTTTTTTCGTCAAGTGACATTTGATTCAGCTCATAAAAATGTAAAATACCAGATCACGCCATTATCAAAACAGACACAAACCACAGAGGAGATGGAGTAACACCTAAAAGGCTGCCCAAGTGATAATATGTAGCCATTACTGAACTCACTGTGACTTTTAAGCGAAAGATCCCACCTATAGCCTCAACACACAAACAGACATGGGTGAAAACTGATCAGACAACTCTGAAAATTGATGTTCGTTTACATTGCGTTCCAAGAGTCACACGCTGTGGTTTATTGGAATGTAGTCCTCCAGTATTTTCTCATCTCTGCCCAAGTGAGCGGGGTACGAAGCCGTTTCAAATCACCTCTTTCTCCGACTAACCCAACATGAGCACACAGTCAAAACTTGAATTAACATGTATAGCAGATCACTGTTTTAGCACACAGCAGCAATGCTAAAAAAAAAAAAAAAAAAAAGAGAAGAAAGAAACAACAAAGCTTTTCAAAAATTCATTAAAAAAACAAAACAAATCAAAGCAGGAATTAAAAGACAGAATCCAAGAGAAAAAAGTACAACAGGTCTAACTGAAAAGAAAGGATATAATTCCTTGTTTGTCTTCTTCTTTTATACAAATGTGTTTGTCAGTCTGTTTGTTGCTGGGAAGTGACGCAGCTACAAATTGCCTTGCCAGGAAAGCACCGGCAGGCTGCAGTACCACAGCCAGAACAGCGGGGGCAGCAGAGAGGCCAGGCCCTCAGGCCGTCTGGAGGCAGCCGAGTTTCTCAGGATGGCGTTGGAGGTACTTGGACCATCTATCTGAGGGTCCTGTTAGACAGGTAGACAGAGATTGGAGAAAATGAGCTCAGCGTGGTTCTGAGATGTTCCAGAAAGATTATGTTCACAATATGCAGCTGGCATTGCAGAGGAATTTAGGAGGAAATGCAAATGCCTCAACTTTTGCTTATTTTTATTTTATTTTGTTAATATTATGCCTACATACTCATGTTCACAATGTTTAAAATGTCTTCAGCATTCATTTGGTGTGGCACACTAAACCATGAAAGGTTGTTTTTATAAGTAAAATGCCACCGTGGAAAGTTAAAAAAGTAGAAGTGTGTGTGCGTGCTTAAATTTGCATGTGCACCACGTGCTGGTATGTGTATACAGGACTTCACCAGCGGTCTTTGGCTAATAAAGCTGCAAGCTAACGGCTGGGTCATCTCCCCAAGACCTGGCCCTGCCTCTATTAAATGTCAGTCCAGTGCATAACAGTGCCTTATTATTGTACAATGACATTTACAGTGAACTTTAAAAGCCACCAGATAAGCAACGATCCCATTTCAGCCTCAAAGGAACTACAAAGAACAGGAGTTTACAAAGAAGGCAGGAAGGATTGCTGTGGCAATCACTGTCAGATGGAGGTCAGAGACTTTCAGCTGGGTCAGATTAGAATTGGTGATGATATGATAACTTGCCGATTGCCTTGTGGTCTTGAATGAAATTGTCGTATCAAATGAAAGGGCATAACAGCTTGAGCTTTCACCACCGAAACAAGTTATAGGTTCTCTTTGTGCGATACTGTATCTCAAAGCAAATCTTTAATAGCAGTTTTAACCTGTAACATCAATATAAACCAAACGACCACCGTAATAAAACCTCCTGTCTAAAAAAGCACAGGTCCCCCTCGTGTCACCAAAATAACCCTGACGCTTCGGAGATAGATACAAGACCTTTATGGTGAGTTTTCTTAGTGTGCTGTGGTGTAGATGCGGGGATGTTGGCAGCACATCTTCCGTTTCTGTTACTTTAAAATGAGTGAGGAGGAGAATACCTCACACATATTGTGGGATACTAATTTGGACTCAGGGCTGGGTGAAGACCTTATGATCATGTGAACAAGTGTGATATTATTTATTTGGGTGGTATGTGTCACAGTAACACCCACATGTATACCAGGAACACGTTTCCCTAGCAGAATCATTAAATTATAACGAGATTATCAATGTTAGTTACTTTGCCTGTCAGGGACAGCGTGCTGTGGATAGATACTTGCAGAGCTGTGAAACATACTTTAGATGGATGCTTTCCACTCTAGTTATTAACTTTTACTTTAATGTCAAGGTTTTGGTATAACTCTTATCAGAAGGTCTACATTTTGTTGCTTTGTAGATGCCTTTTTAACCGTAAAAGGTTTACTTAAATACATCTCTAACCTTACTCAAAACACATAGTTGCTCTTCATGTGCTAGACATTCAGCTTATGCTTATTCTTCAATTTTTACAATAGATTTGTAGTACAACATTCACCGACATTGAACTTACCACACAGATGACGCCATCAGCACTCGAGTTTGACTGCGATTTCTGAGCCTGCAACAGAAGGATACAATCAAACATCTCAACCTACAATCAAGCTTATATCTGCAAATGGCAGTCGGGTTATACGTTACTGAAGTTTCAAGGTCGAGAGTCTGAAGTGTGCATGTTACATCACAAAACAGAGACTGTCAGCAGAGAATCAGAAGCAATTAATTTGCTTTGTTCAACAATCAATGCAGCAATATAATTTTAATTAGACTGAAAATATTCTGTCAATGTGTTTTCACAACAGGTGAAAACACACGGATCGGTGTTCAAACACTGTGACTGTGACTAAACTTCAAACAACTATCACATTCATTCTGTGCATTTATGAAAGCTCGGTGCTGCTCTGATCATAAAAACAGATTGGAACCTGAAGCTGAATTGGAAAAATCTACAGTAACCTTGCAGAGTTTACGCTGAGAGCCTGTTAAACTTTTAAAGCCTCTGATATTTACACAAGAAGAACGAGAGTGAGCGCAGGGGGACAGTCAAACCCCCACTCTGATTTGATCTCAGATTTATCATTCAGCAGCTGTCACACACTCAAATACACTGCCTTTAAGTCCCAGTCTGTCACACACACACACAAACGCTTTCACCATGTGCGTAAATGAAGGTTAGGGATTGTTCTGTGATGACAACCATGACGGATAATTTGAAGGCTTAACTTTTTTTCATGATTATTACGAGAGTACTATTAAAATTACAGCATACGTAGATATCATACCAAACGCAGAAATGCTCTGTGATGCAGAATGCAACTCTGTGGTTGAGCTCAGCCAACCATGACCATCCAGTTTTTCAACAAAATGCTTGCTGGGTTACTTAATTACTACTTAATAACTGTGTGTCAGCTAATATTAGTGTCTTTCATTTTTTATTTAGGAAAAAATGTAGAAATGTATTTGTATTTTGTTAAACAGTGTTGATTATATCTAACAATATATCATACAATCACATAAGGCAAAGGTACTAAACTAGAAATTGCTTTTTACATCTCTAGCTGGTATTTCAATCATACAAAAACATACAAAATACAGTCCTGATCAAAAGGGACGGTCGGTTTTAACTGGAAATAACTTTTGTCATATCTAAGAGATCATCTTTAAAGTAAAGAAGCAGCTTCATTATGACAACTGTGGTTTCAGTGTTGAAGTTAACCACCAGAGCCCAGAACTTAACATTACTGAAGGTTATTGTGGCATCATCTTGACAGAAAACAGAACAAAAAGTCAGCAAACATCCAAAGACTGGGAGTTTGAAGTCTAGAATCCAAAATTCAACTAGAACAGAAACTAATGCGCCGCAACCAGCGTTGGAACATACATCAAAACCTCTGAGTTCACTTTGCACGAGATAACTGTGAACAGGGAATACAAAAGAACATATTTAACTGTGTTGAATTCAGCGTTACTCGGCACAGTACATGAAAAAAATATATAATGGAAAAAAAGAGCAGCAATGGAAAAAAAGAAACATATATAACATCGTGACAATCATGTCCTCTGGGTCTAAGCTCTTCAGGCAAATTTCTAAACAGATTAGAAGTGATTACCACTTTTGCTGATTGCAAGCCCACCATGAGCTGATTTACTGATTGGCAGTGTAGACCTTGTAATCAGCATGTGAACATCTTGTATTTTTGTTGTGCATTTGGTGAATTAAGCAGCTGGTTATGAGTTTGCTACCTGTTTTTCTTTTCTACCTCTAAGAAAAGAAACTTTATTTTTCTCTTTTCTTCTAATGACCTGCACACTGAATATATGTATTGAGGATGGATGCTGTAAGTGAAACGCCTGTGTGTATACAGGAAGTAGGTGTGACAGCATAATAAATGGCTCCTGTATACAGTATAGTGAATTCAGGCCAAAAATAGGGATGCACAGAATGTAGCAGGCATAGTATTATAGAAAGTGAGAATGTGTATTTTGTTATTATACCCATGCTTCAGCGCTAAAGTGGAAAAAAAAAAGGGTTGGGTGGAATGATGTCTATAAATCATGGTGTATTTGCAGGCCTCTGCACAACGACCCAAACAGCAGAACAAGCTGAGATTTTAAAGCATTGTCAAGGAAAAAATAACAACACAATGACTAAGCACAACTTGCTTAGTCATTGTGGGGTTGTGTTTCCTGATTAGGGCCCATCTGTGTTTACCGCCATTGTGCTAAACGTTTCCCCGTCTCATCACTGAAAGAGACGATAAAGTTTTACAGCTTGTTGCTGAAGTTTCGAATCCCGAGGGCACCGAGTGTTTCGCTGCAAAACGTTGGAAAAGCTTAATCATGTGAATGTGAATCTTACATCGCACATAGATGTAGGCTTCCATCTGCCACTTTATTGCTTTTATGATTGCAACATCTTCATGATGACTAACAAATTCAGCAATTTAGATGCAGATATTTGTAAGATTTGCATTGTTGCAACTGTGAATATTAGTCATTCGTGTCTTTATAAGATTTTCTGGTGATGTTAAAAGTGTAATGTAATAATAATTGTGATTTAAAACTGACAAACATAGCAATTGAAACACATTTATTGCCTTAGCTTCCTCTTGGACTTTTGAGCCATTTAGAGTTTTCGTCTTCTTTTACAAAGACATCAAGTCTGTTAACAAATATGTGCATGGGTGGAGGTCAGTGAATTCAAATACACATTGCTGTTCTTTGTTTTGTTTTTCTGATTTACTTCCCTGTTTGGAAAAGTCACATTAGCATGTAGAACATTTCCATATTTGTCCAGGGTACTTCCTGTCTGCTTTGGAGTCAACTATATTTATAACAACAAAAAAGAAAAAAGAGAAATCAGGCTGACAAAGCCCTGCGGTTTTGAAATGTGTGCTGATCTGCACACATTTATGTGTATGTGTTTCTATGAACATGTGTGTAAATTTTAGCCCTTTTGTGTGAGGAAAGAAGAAAAGCGGAAATTCTAGTATCTTAATTTCCTGTAAAAACTAAAGAGGATGAAAGCGTCTTCACATTACCGCCAAAACAAAGACACACAGTGGGGAAATTAAACAGAGAGGAAAGTACCCTCTCCAGCACAAGAAACGAAGACAAGAAAAAGGAAGCTGGGTCTCTTCTAATTCAGCTGGCAGCTTGAGAAAAACACTGTTCAGCCACATGTTTGAACATTTTTTAAAGGAGCCAAGTTCGATTTATAGACACTGATAATTTGAAAGGTCTCAGGCTGGTTATTCTCCAGCCCCTAAAAATATAGATCTCACTGGGAGGTGAGGAGCTTTCAGCTTTTAACACCTTCAACATTTTTTCTCTCCACTTTAATTTTTTTCGTCTTTCAAGCCGGGGTAAATGCACTTCAGATCTGCCAGATTCTCACTGGCTGAAACTGGAACGGTTTTGAGTCAGTGTTTAATGGTGATTGTTCTGCATGTTTGTGCGTCTCTGTGTGTGTTTGTACAGGAGAGAGATCAGTGAGGAGAGTGGAGTGAGTTTTCTTGACAGGCCTGTCCCCCGAGTGTGTCATTTCAACAGCATCGTCCGCATTGATGCTTACACACACACACACACACACACACACACACACACACACACACAAACATGTACTCTGAAAAATAAAAAAAAAACAAAAAATAAAACACACACAACACACATGCACACACACACACACACACACACACACAAACACACACACACAACACACACACACCGACACACACACACACACACATGGACACAACAACTCTCTCATTAACTTGTATTTGACGTGGTATCAGAGCAGTGCCAACAGCACACACGCATCAGTACACTACCAAAGCTCATTATCAGTGCAGACTGGGTGTTTGTGTGAGTGCGCTTGCCTTTGTGTGGATTTGTGTGAACAGGCTTGAGTGTGTAATTGCATCTATCTAGAATATCTGTCTGTTAACTTAACTTGCAGGGCTTCATGGCTGCTTATACTGTCTGTGCCTACGTGCATACAGTACAACTTTCCTCACCCACATACATATTATATGTTGCAGCTATCACTTTCACATAGATTAAAAGCTATGCTATTCTCATACTGACTAAGTAATGTGGAGAACGGCCCAGCATAGCCAGCTACATTGCTACTAAGACACTTTGAAGTGTTGGTGTGGCGCTCTGTAACATCACCTCAGAACCACATTACTGGTTGATTCCTCTCTACATCACTGAAAGCAGCCACTACTGATTTGTCCTGCAGCAACAAGTGTTGTTCAGTGTCAGTTTTAGCTCTTAGCAGACTTTTTCACCTTCTAACCTCTGATATACATACAGCAGACCTTTGTAGGACTTTGAGCACAATGGTATGTAAGCCAGGTTTGCAAAGTCATCCTTTGTCATTCTGGTACATCACTGTAATGCCAGCCCACATCAGATCACCAAGCAACTGGCTGATTTTATAAATGGCATGCTATTTGTGCCTCTGCACGCCACTTTGCAACTTGCTCAACTTCCTTCATGCAGTCAGTCATAGTTTGTCTAAATGTGCGTAGTTTCATGAAAATCAAAAAGATTAAACATAGAAAATATACACAGAACTAAAAGTAAAACTAGCTAAAAGCAAAAAATGGTAAATTTTCATAATTATTACTTTTATTAATGAATTTTTAATGTCACAGTTGTTCTGCCTTCAGTCAGGTGCCCAGTTTTCCATGATTAATGCAGCTCTGGCTTCAGTGTTGTGCTAATTAATATTTTAAATATTTAAATAAAACATGTTTGGTAGGTTAATTAAATTCTAAATTGGCTGAAGATGTTAATAAGTAATGAATGTTTGTCAGTCTTGCTTTATCAGCCATGTGATAGACTGGCGACCTGTCCAGGACGTACCTTGCCCTGACTCTATAACGCTGAACAGTCACGGGTTCAGAGACCCCGTGACTCTGAACTCCATAACTGGTTGATTAAATGGATTAGTAACATAAATAATCGATTTTGTTTCTAAAAAGAAATAGGTGATTTCAAGTGACAAGGCTACATAGATCTTATATTATCACTCTTTATTTTGGCCAGTTTGTCGTGGGTTTAAAACCCTCAGCTTTACTACTGTGGTGAACTCTTACTACACCCATCAAACAGGTTTCTAGAAAAAGCAGCAGTAAAAGCTGCAATAAACTCGGCACCAAACTGCAACCAAAGTGCTGACTTAAATCGCTAAAGACCCAGTCATTTCCCTCAGAAGATGGAGGATCTCAAAGGAGGCTTAAATTTATCAGGTGGCCAGAAACACGTCTCCCAGTGAATCGTAATGTTGTGTGTGTCCACTGAATGTGGAAATAAACAGTCTAAAAAACAATGTTAATAATTGTCTAGCACTTGTTCAGTTTCTCTCAAACAGCAGAAAAGAAAAAAAAATCAATTTATGAAAGGCTGGGTTCAAAGGCTGGGTTTTTAAAAACGAAGCTAATTTTGTTAAGTGGAGTTTATCCTCTTTAAAATTTGCTGACTGTGGATTTTTAGTGGTATTACAAAGACGAAACCAAAACTATTCAGAAACGGCCGAAACAGGCACATCATGTGCAAATATAAGATAAGGATAAAACATGGTGTTTACAGTTAAGATTTCTATTCACAAAAAGAAACGATTAAGGTGAAAGTGCCTGTAAACAATAACTTTAACAGTTGCATGCTGCTGCATTGGGTTGTGGTATCGTTATATGTGAAATGGCCCTCTGAGGCTCTGTCATCTCTCTGCTGGTAATCACAGTGTTATCCTCATTTCCTCCCTGACCCAGGAAGAGCCCGTCACCAGTGTTCAGGACTGATCCCTCCATTTAGTCAGCCAGATAACTGTTGTTCCTGTAGTGCAGAAGAAGCTGCTCCAAAGGACAGACTGACAGTTTCAGAGCCTTACAGGTCACATTAGGGAATATGTGGATAAATGCATAGATACACACATGAGTGTGTCAGTTAATGAAGGGGCACGCCTAGAAATCTACATAGGGGGTAAACATGAATAATCCCACTGGAGAAAATATTCCTGTCCACTTAGTACAATATAATCTCTGCTTTGACCTAAGAGGAAAATCTGCCTCCATATCCCCATCGGCAACTTTTTAGTACCAACCTGGCAATATGACAATTAAAAGAATCGTAATGTTGAGTAAAGCTGCAGATGTTAGCTGGTATTCTCAGTCTATTTGGCAGTAAGGACAATACCCCACATTTATTTGTACTACAGTACTCATGGATCTAGGGGGGTGGTCTTCACACGACATACAGCCACTATAGGCGGGGTTAGCACAATGAGGAGAATATTATGAACCAAAGTTATATAAGATTATTCTTTTTAGAATATTAATTAGAGAGAGAGAAATGACATTTACCAAAGAGTTGCAGATTATCAGGTCAGATAAAAAAGAAGGAAACTTTGATACCTTTTAGAAAAAAAAAAAATCCTTTTTACAAAGTAAAACTATCTTGCACCTGTGCTACATTGACTAGAATCCAGCAAAAAAAATAAAATTGGGGCATGCTGAAGGAGGGTTTCAATCTTGATATGTATAACCTCAAATGTGAGACTCACATGTATGGTGTCATATGGTGTTTAACTGAGAAATAACACTGGGAAAAAGGAAAAAAAAAGGTCTGAGAATCATTTTCTTACAGTCTTCAGCAGTCATTTTTTTCCTTCTTATAGTGCTATTTAATTTTCTTTGTGATAGCCTCTATAAAATCCCCCTGAAAACTCCATGCTGGCTCGCTTTGTGGTAGTTTGCAATTTTTGAGGGGCAGCATTGGAGGCAAAAGATGATGACAGGTTGACCTGCAGGATGACAGCCTTCCCTGCCATCTTCAAAGCCATTGGATAAACCCAGACTAAAAAAAATAGTACCGCTCCTGCAGTGTTGATCTTTGAAAACTAGACACAATAAAAAATGTTGGAGATTGGCTGGATATGTGGGACATCTGGTCAAGCTAACCTGCGTGTGTGACCCACCTGTAGGCTGCCGCAGAAGTGATAGATTGCAGGGTCTGTGTTAATGTGGTTGTCAATGGTGTTGGGGTTGCGTTCACGGTTTCTTTGGTAGGGGGTGGTGATGGAGGTGGTGGTCTGGACGGGGGACATGGGCTGCCACACCCCGACATCAGTTCCATTCCCGAAGGCCTGGATGGCGTTACCTACAAAGGGAAGAAAAGAAATGTTTATAGGTTTCCTGTCCAGAAAACCAAATCCAGGTAAGTTTAAGTTATTTCATGGCTCAAATGCACGATAATCCCCGTGTTAAAAGTAAAACTGTATTTTGCCCAAACCACAATTATAGGAGAGTTAGTGGGTACTTAAGTTTTGTTATCACTTCCCTCCATTATAAATTCACCACACCGTCAAAAACCTGAGTGCTGATGTGGCTATTTACCATTAGAGTCCATTAGCAACCCTATTAATAGCCTTCTATGGCTTTGATGTAAAACACACACACATGCATATACACACACACATCAGAGGGAATCTGAGCCTTACAGAGCTGCTGTTTGAACGTAATGATATTCTTCCCTCCAACAGTGAATTATGACCCTGAAAACTGTGGTAAAGGAAGGAAGAGCTGATCTGCATAACTGCTCTTTAACCCCACTCAAATATTCATACTTACATGTGCAAAGACACGTGATTATGTCGGCATGATGAACAGCATGCAGTATTTTCATATTGCATGTTCAGGTTTGTTGGTTTCCGCAATTTTCTTTGACAAATCCAACGTCAAAAATTAAAAACGCAGTTGTGAGACAAATTTATATAAATATTAGTGTAAATTATTACTATAATCTGTGTTTAAAATTGATTGCCTACATAGAGCATCAATGCAGAAACGCAGTGTTGCTTTTAGAGGGGAGCTAAAATAAAGTGCTGCAATTAAGTTTAAAATAAAATGTGTTTTATTAGCAGAATAACCTATCAGTCTTTTCTAGCTCTTATTGATCTTAAAAAAAGATCCATAATAATTCATTAATGATAAAAGATCTATATTTGAGAGTAAAAGCAGATTCATGGTTGCAGATTCATGTACCTTAAGGTATAACATGTCAATAACCTGCACCTGCAATAACTTGCAATGCATTAAATACATTAAAAAGATCAGTCAACATTTGACATTAAAAACTTTGCATAAAGTCCTTAAATACACCCAGCTGGACTTGATAAGTTCATTTGTGAAATGATGTAATGTAACACACAGTAATGTTGTTACTTTGAACATAAAAATGATAAAAAAAAATTAGTATAATGACATTTAGTTGCTGAGCTACAGATGGTGTAGCAGGGGTTTGAGGAGAAATAAGCATACATACATAAAGACAGATATTTTTTGTATTATAGTAAGAAAGCTCATACTGACTAATACATATATGCCTGGTGATTTGCCTTGTATCTGAATATGATGCTGACACCAGTCTATGTTGTTGCTTCTGGAGAAAATGAGGCTTTATTTTCTCCAGTAGTTCAGGAAACATGCACTCCATTAAAGAGAATATGGAGACACATCCATAACCAGTTTAAAGGAGGATCTAAAAACCAAGTGAACCTGTTTCAGCCTGCAGACCTGTAAATTTGCTGATTCAATTCCAGGCCTTTGTAGAGTGGCATCCTTTAGACCGGTTGTTTCTTTGCAGGACCAAAGGAGTACCAGCAGCCGTGTTAGCAAAATTAATTTGTGAAAACTGAAGAATGGCTGATATCAGATCTGAGAGAAACAATCCTCGTAGTCTTTTCTGAACACAGCAAGACAGCGTCCCCTAATTCCTGCTGACCCAAATCTACTCGTTTTCTTGTGCAAGAGGAATGAGGGGATCCTTGGTGTGTGCCTGGCATCTCAGAAGGTGATAATGTTCTCAAAATGTTTACCTCTGGCTACATGCATTAGAAAAGTCTGGATTTTAAGGATATTTTATGGAATTTTATGCAATCAGATTTTGTTCTGATCTGTTTGAATAGTCCGTGTAAAGAAAATGGTGAAAGATAAATGACTTAGATTTAAACAGAGTTTCTTTGAAGCCACTGAACAAATCACGATCTTCCACTCCTCTGGTCTTTCCTTTCCTTCCTCCTGAGAAACTGATTTCCAATTGAACTCCCCATGACCTAGAAAGAACCTTTGAGTTAGTTCCAGTCTGCAGATTTAATAAATGTGACTAGTAATCTCGAACTAAGCAAACCCAGAGGCTTCTTCACTTGATGTGCCTTGCCAAAGTGAGCTCTGGTAAGAGAAAGATCTCTGACACAGACAAACAGCATAATGTTTTCATTAATGTAGATTCTATAGAACTTTATTGTGAAGGTCGTTGTTGTGATTTGGCACAACTTAAACAAAACTACTTTTTTGTTTAGTTTAGTTTTATCAGTGTAGAAATCACATATAATGGCAGAAAAAAGGCTATGATTGTGTTTTATTTATTATTAGCTATAACAATAGACATGCCTTTTCTGTGTGTACCTTTCATTTTGACTGTGACAATGCAAAATATTATTCCCTCAACATATTTGTTTAACATTTCACAAGAGATGCGGTAGCTGAAGAAATTGGCTGGCATTAATTTTTGGAGATGCAATATTCAGCACAAAACAAGTAATTTTTGTCAATATCCTGCAGCCCTGATGCGTGCGGCTCTGCTCAAGCACGTGAATATTTAATTTTTCGCCGATGTGTGTGTATGCGATTGCGTAGCTGGTAGCTTTGTGTCGAGACAGCAGAAGGCTGATGGGGATATTGGAGGTGTTGATGGGCTCTTTTTTGTCTCTTCTGTCTGTCTCCTCACCTAAGGCCTAATTACAAAACACACTCGCAGCACAGTGAGCGTGCGTGAAAAACAGGTTACATGTCAAATTAAGGCACAGGACATCAGACCTGCATGTGTGCTCACTCCACTCCTTATTTTTAGATATCCAATGTTTTGGAACCTGTGTTTTTTCCTGGCTCCTCTCTGACATTTCCACTCATTTTGAAGTGTTTTTGGCAAGGTGACGTCTTTGACTAATTATTCAGCATGCTATTGTAGAAATAAATAAAAACTTTGTTCAGAGATTAAAAAAAGGATTATTGATATTTCCTTAGTTTCTGTTGGAAGAGCTCACATACAAATATCTGTAAATATATCTACAGTTACAACAGTGGATGCGCATATTAAACATGACCACAGTTTTAAATATTGAGGTCAGTATGTGTATAAGCCAAATACTAAGGATTCAAGTTTTTTTTTTCCATTTTAAAATCACACTAAGAGCAGATTTTCATAATATAGTCATTTTAAACATTAGTGCAAAAGTAGCACTAAAACAGTTTCTTTCAGTCAGAAGATCAAGTGAGTGGCTGCACAAGGAAAAGGAACCAATGATGATTTTGATGTGTGCATCATGCAAAGTCACTCTCGTGAGTTGGCAATGAGGATAATAGTTCCCATTCTCAAAATTAGACAACAACCAAAACTGAAAAACAAAATACAAGCTAATCTTCTCTAAAACATTATAAATGCAAATACAGCTAGGTGTTATGAAAATTATTTTTGCAAAATACCACATTTTAAGCATCAGAGCTGTTTGCTTACCAGCATTTGCAAAATAGCAGTTAATCAATATTTGATCTTCTTATCTTGAATGAAAAACGAAACCTTTTTGTACTTATGTGAAATAGCATGTGTAGCTTTCATTGTGAGTGAAAATGTCATCAGCACACTAACCAACACGAGCATATTATTCACTAAGGTGACACTGGGCAAGTTCACACTCGTACCTCTGACATTCACACACTACCACACAATTTCTATGGTTTCACTTCACTTCCTACAGATTAAACTTCAAGAAGAGAAAGTATTATGTTAAGGGCAAAGCATCAATCCTTGAGCATATTTGCATAATAAACCTAAAGACACTGAGCCTTTGGCTTTCCTCAACACATTTGATACAGAGCTAATGGAAGTCCTGCTACTATTTACTCAGGATACATAAAAATGACTCTGTGGCATACCAAACAAAATATATTCAGTACATTAGTTTTCAGATACTGTTGACTGTATGAGATTTATGTGGCCAGTTTGATGTCACCTGCTGGTTTTGGACTCCACATTCTAAAGTTTCAGCATCAGCCTTTAATATGCACCCATGCTGTTTTTCTGAAGAGAAAAATGGCTGCAGTGAGAACGTAGAGCGTTAAATTATCAGCTAAAGCTAGAAAGCAGGGTTGTTAAGCATGTCTGCCAATTAGTGCAAAGTAACAAACTAAACAGGTTAATCAAAAAGAAATTCACAGACTTTTTGAGTGGGCTACACCAGCGGTCTCCAACCTTTTTTGTGCCACGGACCGGTTTATGCCCAACAATATTTTCACTGACTGGCCTTTAAGGTGTCGCGGATGAATACAACAAAATAAAACTAGTACCGGTACCGAAAAAAGAAGATTTATTCATAACACACGTGAAAAGACCCAGGAAAACCAAGTTAATGATAAAAACGATAACAAAATAACGCTGAAAACCGATAAAAACCCTGAAAACTATACATTTCACACCTGAGCCTCAACTCTCGCGGACCGGTACCAAACGACTCACGGACCGGTACCGGTCCCAGGCCCGGGGGTTGGGGACCGCTGGGCTACACCACACAGAAAACCATATTATACCTGATATAACTTCATTAATAAAAAACGACTAAAACCACAAACACAAGACGTCCAGTTCAGTGACTCAAACAGGCAGAACTGATGACTAGTAAACAGCAAACAGCCACGTGCATAACTCCAGTATCCAGATGAATGAGTCAAATTAAACCGGAAGCCTTTTTATATACACTAAGTAGCAAATCCCTTTCAAATAAACCTTTCTAAAACACTAGGACAAAGAATGATTTAACCTTCATCAATGCAAACGGCAATGTGCACTAGAACAAACATGATATCATCTTCCCACTGCAGCAGATATTGGTGTTAGTAGTATGAGTTTGCCTCATGCAGATGTCTACATTACCACTTTATCTCACTTTACATGTACACGGATTGTTGTAATACTAGAATTATGTTGGACGGCGTGACCTTTCCATATGCAGGAAACAGGGAGGAATTACACTAAAAAAGCTTTGAAAATATTAAAGTTGCAGTGTCTCCTTGAGAATATTAAAGCAGCGGATCCGAACCTGGGGGTGGGTCACACAATAACCGAGAAGCTGTATAAAAAAATTACAGGATAGGAATGCAGAAGGAGGTGTGTGCTATAATCAACCTCAATACTCTGAAAGCTCACACAACAAAACATACACATTTAAGGAAGTCAGAAGCTTAGAAAGATACAAACCAATGTAATGCTCAAAAAAAAAATCCTCTTTTCTGTCTTTTTGTCTAGTCTTTGTCCTTCCTCAAGTTACTTTCTAGCCATGACCCTGTAGCTGGTGTGTGTCAAGATCGTCAGAGTTGTCAGTTCCACTTACTGCTGAGCAAGCCTAATGAGAGCAGAAAGAGGGAGGGCATGAAAGGATGGAGACAAAGAGTTGGGATGAGCAGACAGAAGTGGGATGAAGCATGAGCTGGAGAACAAGGGAAAAAGAAAGGGTTGTAATGGGAAAAATAAGGGAGCAGTGAAGAAAAAGGGAGAACTGAGACTAATAATGAAGAGTCAGAGGAGGCGTATTCCTCCTCACTTTGAACTATGTTCAACTTCCCCAGTGAATAAAAGCAAATAGTAGATATAGAGGGTGTGTTTTAACCCACGTTAACCCCCTTTGATCTTGGAAATCTCACAATGACACTTGAACACACAAAATCATGCCAGCACGCAGAAGCAAAGACTTACAATACGTTTCATGTCTCCCACGTGCACTAACTGGGTGCAGACTCACACACACACGCACGCCGACTGCAGCAGCCCTTATTATCTAGAGCAGAGGAACCTTGTTAACCCTGACTGGTAAAAAGACAACGGAGTAGAGAAAACAAGAAGAGGGAGGGGAAAAAGATAATAGAAGAGGAGAAGACAAATGAGAGCGTGAAAGAGAGAAGAGTTGGTGAAAACGAGGCTGCCTCTTGTTGGTGTTTTCTCATCTGCTAACTGCCATTCTGACAGAGGAAAATCAAACCGCCCACTCTGCTCATGTAGAGCCGAACAACTGGCACCAACTCATTCCCCTCATTGTGACTACAGCTCATTGTCTTCAATGCACACCACTTTCTACAGCACACACCCACGCATGAACACCCTGCTTGCCACACTGGTCTCGTGGTTGATTGCTTCATCAATCGAATACTGAATTTTTAATTAAGGTGACTGTACATCTTGACAGCTGCAAATAGATAGTGGTCAATCTGTGCTATGTTGCACAAAACTAATTCATCATTCAGACCAACTTTCACCCAGTGACAGGTTAAAGCTGCTTGTACAACAACAACGTGAACAAGATTTCAAAGAAGCTGCAAGTAGTGTTAACTCATTCAAATTGCCACTCGAGGCTTTTTCAGGAAAAAACAAAAAACACTGTACATTACACTGTACATCAGGATCAAGCTGGTGAATACAGAGGGACCTTCAGCAGCTGATAAGACAGATATTCTCACTGGGAGTTGGCAGAGATTAGAAAAAGAACTGAAGGACAGTTAAATATTGAATTAATATCTACCCTGTGACCAGAAACACAGCTAATGGCAGCGTATGAGATGTGATTATAAAGTTACGCAATTCCGCCCAGGAAACATAACTTTCAAATCCTCCTGGTACACTGCTGGACCACGTCAACAATGGCTGCTATTTGTAAATGCCACTGACATAGTCCTGAAAAATGTACTTGTATGGGAATTTTAATGAACCTCCACTTCTCTTTCAAAGGAACCCCACTTTTATACTGAGGCTCATTCACCAGTGATGATGAGAGCTGGGTTACCATGTACAACACAGTGGGAGTAAGTACCATGTTTAGCATTTATAGAGTTCAACATTCTTATCGTAAAGCTGACATGACAGCCGTCTGATGGACTGGCTACTTGTCAGGATGTACTCAGCCTCTTGCCCTGTTAGAGTTGGGATAGGTTCTTAACCTACTCTGAACTATATAAGCAATGCAGAGGCCGCATTACTGAAACAACAACCAAGTTTTATTTTGATATGTTTAATTATTTTTTTCAATCACATAAATAACAATTTGCAATTTGAACTGATTTTTGCTTGCCGACATAATTTAAACCAAAATGCCAATTAAAAGTGTCTTAAAGTAAAATTCCAGAGCGCAAGAAGAGCTGGAATCTTTAATAGGAGATTTGTTTTTATCAACACTTAACCCATGTCATACCAGCTACCACACATCAGAAGCTACATTAAACATACTTTATAACTAAAGCAGGAGATGGCAACACTGTCTCGTCAAAATCTTTGCTGATTAAATGAAAACATTTTCAAATTTTAAGTTCACCTGATTGTTTTCACCTGTTTTCTGCTCCCTCCTGGTTCTTGTTGAGTTATTAGTCCACTGTGTGTCTGTTCCTGCATTCCTCTTTCCTGAGTCAGCTGTTATGCTTCCCCTTATGATGCTGCCCTGCCTTGCTCTCCCTCTCTCTTGAAATACGGTGACACCATGAGGATAAACATTTGTTTAAGACTCTGCATTTTGAAGCCTCTGCATGCCATGTCAGTTTTTTGGAATAACATTTGAACGAGAGGGTTGCATGCCAAGTTCCCAAGTAAAGCTATTATTGTTAGTTGCATTATACCTATGACGGCACACTCAAGCACACATATCTGGCAATTAGTGCAAAATAGCAAACCAATGAAATATTACAATTTCACTCACAAAAACTGAAGCATAAAAGTGACAACAGCATCTAAAACACTCTAAAAGGAACCACAGAATGGTCAAGTGGTTCGGGCTCAGCAAAGAGGAAGCCTAGCAGAGAGCTGCCACCCACACCTGCCTGGATCAAGACACCTGTAATCCAAAACCAACCACTCTCACAACTCAAGTGTCTAGAGGGATTTTAAAAACATCTACACACCATTAGGCCAAACCCGTATTTTATAACCAGCTGTAAATGTGCTTTTTAATATTGCTAAGATGGGTATTTAACCTCCTAAGACCCAAACTCTTCCACGACATGCATTTTTTAATTTCTCTTTGATATTTGGGCATATTGGGACCCGATGAAAGTAAAAAGTAAGAATTACCAGGTTTTTCTTTTTAACCTGATTTTTGTTTCTAAGATAAATGAGAGCCACAATGAGGATATTCGTTTAAAATTTCGATAGATCAGTGGCAGTATGTCCTCATAAGTGGATATCAGGCCCTTGTAGAGCAAAAGTGAGTTTTTTGGGCTAAATAACCCAAAATGTGATGTCCACATATGTGGATGCCAGGTCCTAGGAGGTTAAACATGGGAATGTGTGGAAATGTACTCACTTTTAGAGCCAACCTCAAGTGGCTGCTACAGAAACTGCAGTCTACAGTTCCACACTGCCTTCATTTTCCAGCTGCTCGGTGAGCACATATGCTCATCCAGCATGGGTGTCCTTGAGGGAGATTGTCTTCCAGCTGTGACCCTGTCTCCTGACCTCCGTAGAGGAATCAATTAGGAATCACATTACACTTAAACTGTGTTGGGGAGGAAAGAAGCAGCTGACTGCCACTGAGTGTAGTATCAAAACAGAAGGAGCAGAACCAGTTTAGATTACAAGGAAACTCAAAGTGAGGCTGGCTTACATGTGCACAGACCCATATTAATCTGGTTAGAAACAGGTGTGTTTACACTGAATGTATGTGGAAGAGAGAGAGAGAGCGAGAGCGAGAGCGAGCGAGAGCGAGCGAGAGCGAGCGAGAGCGAGAGCGAGAGCGAGCGAGAGAGAGAGAGTTTGCCCGTCTCCATGAGTTTGAAGACATTTTTAAGACTCAAAAAGTGGTTTTAGTGTCAAGGTCCATTTATGCTAAGGTTTGGTGTTAGGCATTCATTTTCGATGCTTAGGGTTAGGGTCAGCAGCTAGGGAAATCATTTTGTCAATTAAATGTCCCCACTAAGATATGAAAACACGACTGTGTGTGCGTGTGTGTGCGTATGTGTGACTTCAAGTAGGTTTGTTAATTAAAGTCATTGCGTAAGAGGGTTTAGATGGAAAAGCCTCTTTCTGTCAAAGATCTGGAGCAGGAGTTCTGCTACACATTGAGACACTCTGGTGCAATATGACTGGCTTTTTTTCTGTTATGCTGCTGGATAACAATGCAAGCATGGCAATGGGATATATTTGGTAAGAAGGAGATACTGGAAAGAAAGGAAGGGATAAAAGTGCACAACAAGAATATGACCAGCAGAGCAGAGTAGGTGAAAACGGACAGACACAGAACTCAGAAGAGCTGCTAAGACTAATCCACAGTCAAAAATTAAATTGAACAGATAACAGCTGGTCAAAGTAGAGCAGCACAAGAGGAAAACTTACGTAGGCAGGTGTTCTCTGTGAAGAACTCAGTGAATTTGTCACACTCATCCTTATTGTTGCCGCTGTTGCTGCAGTCGCAGTAGGGAGAGACACTGATTTTGGGTGAGCGCAGGTAGTTGGGAGTCATGACAGTACCTGGAGAAAGATGATAGAATGATTCACTGATTATTTTCAGTAACAAATGTGGTCCATAAACAAGGCTTTATTGTAAACTGTTCAACCCTGAATGAGCTGCTAACTACCAATTAAAAAAATAAAATAAAAAAAAATTTAAAGCCTTCAAAATATCAGGTATCATCATCGTGCTGTGTTGATGATAAATGTTTAGCAGTGATGATTTTTATTTTCTACGAGAGAAACGCAGTCTGGTGGAGTTTCTCCAGGAAGCAGAATGCAGAGAAGGTGGAGTGAAGAATAGGCTCTCTCTCTGCGAGGGAAAGTAAATAGCTTCAGTCAGTGATTTCTCACTCCCCCAATGGATTGTTCCCTTGTGCTGGCTGCAATCCAGAACAGGCCATTTTGTTTTGCAGTAGGCAGAATGAATTGGCGCTGTGTGGACAGTGTGTGTATGCGTGGTCAGGTTTGGCGACTTGAGAGGACCAAATCTCGAGTGTTGCAGTAACTGTTGTCGGGAAGAAATCAAGAGTGGGATTGGTCCACGTTGTGAGTGAGATAGCTACAAAAAATTACAGCTTGGTTCTTCATGTCAAAGCTGTGTTGCATTTTTAACAATGTCTTAAGCAAATTCTCGTATTTCAAGATCTTAGAAACTGCAGTTAATCCCGAGTCAAACCTGACCAGTCACAATCGAGCGAACTCACCAATCAGACCCGAGTAGGCGAGGAGGCAGTCTGCATAGTTCTCCTTCAGGCAGCCTGACAGCGAGCGGGGCTCCGGCTGGCAGTTGACAAAGAAGTCAGCGAGTCGTGACCTAAAACACACACAGATCAAAAACTATTTTGTGATTATAGCTCCAGCAGATAAGTTCAGATGGCCAATGCGACTGTAAATGAGCAGCAAAAGGCCCGGTTGAAATTAGTGTCCACTGGAAGTCATTTGTCTCAATTCAATTAGCCTTCTTAATGGCTGACTTCAGTGCGGTAAGATGACCCTTTATGCTGCGGCTGGTTTGTATCCTGGAATGAATGAAGCTACGGACTATTCTCCGCCCAGTCTGTTCTGTTTCATTTACCTCCTTCAAAAATGTTTGTTTACACTTTTGCACCAGGTGCAGTGGTTTGTGAAATTGAAATGGTGTTTGTAGTCCCAAGGAATTCACAATTTGAAGTGAAATTACGTGTGATATAGTGGCTCTTTGACACAAAGCTAACACCTTCAGACTCAAACATCTTTAACCATCTTGGTGTGTTGGTGCAGTTTCGGCACATAAAACTCAAAGGTGGTATGCTGAATGTGCAATAATTGGTCTCCACCAACTACTCGTGCTTAATTTGTGTGCGTGTTTGTTAGGACTTGTTTAATACCTGTAGTGACTTCAAAGGAATTTAAAAGCTGGACACCAAAGATCGTCTTTAATTCAGTATTTGATCAAATGTGAAATATATTCAGTGGTGTTCTGTTTGATTTACTAGGAACAAAAAAGTCATTGAAGAATATTACAATGCCCAAGTAAAGTTGATCTTTGTAATATAAGTGAGTTTGACCAAGTTCATGCCAAACAGGAGATGTTAGGTTTTCAAGGACTTGATGGACAGCCTGGGTTGTATTCATCAAATTCAAAATGAGCGTGTTTAGTATTTCTCATTTTCAGCATTTAAGATGCTCTTTATACTAGTTTCACGCATCCAGATACGGTTCAAATGATTTGCAAAGCAGTGTATCCTTTTTCCTCCCTCTCTCTCTTTTGTTCCTGTCTTAGTTTTTTTGGACATGGGGTTGTATCTGCACTTGCAGTGTGATCCGTCTTATCACACCAATCTGGTGCAGAGCTGAGCAGTGCCTGGCGAGAGCTGTCAACAGCAGCCAGCATACTACACCTGACATATGGTGAGGGAACTTGTGGAAATGCATGGCTTTAATCTGTCTGTGCTAACTGACAAATGGACCGGGAGGAAGCCGTGCTGCAGTGAGACCTGTTGTTCAAGCCCTGAGCATATGTGTGATGGATTGAGCGTATGGAGGATTGAAACTGCCAAAATCAAAAATGAAGAAAAAAAGATAAATGACTGAATATATAAATATGTTACAACAACATAAAAATAAATGCAGCCATTCATTGCGTTTCGTTTTTGATTTATATTTATCAATATTAATAAAATGACAAGTCAAAGAATAAAAAAAAAAAAAAAAAAAAAGTATTTATATATGCATCCTTTTCCTGTGCATCCACCATACTAATGTCCTAAAACCCTCCAAATTCAGTATCTTTCTATATTTCTGTAATCACTTTAAAAAATTACCTTATACAAAAATAAATGCAGAAAATTTACATTGAATTCTTAGTATAATAAACTAAATTCTGGCATCTTAGGTCCTTCATAGGAGAGTTCCATTGGGAGAAAGATGGACGGAAGAAGAGAAACTTGCAGTATAAATTTACTACTGCTGCCTGCTGTTAAGCAGAGACAGAGGGTGAGGCGAGAGGGAGGGAGACCTGAGGCCACAGTCCAAATGGAGCTCATTTATGATGCCTAATGCCTCCATTTAATCCCAGAGACCCACAAGACTGCTGGCTCAATCCTCCGGAGACTGCATAACCACATATACACACACACTAGTGAGGGCAATGTCAGATGTCCATCACTGAATTACTCTTTTCTGACTCTTAATGCAGGAACCCTACAGTGTACGTGGGTGTGAGTCTGAGACTTGAGGCATAAAGGCAGACAATTTATTACTGCTGGTGCTACACTGACTACTACACAATGTAAAGAGGTGTCTATGGGGCATGTTAATGCACAAATGTGTTTCACAAAGTGGGGACTTGCCTCAGATTTGCAGACAGAAAGCTTGTCTGCACACTGTAAAGAATTCGATTTTAGGCTCTGTGAGTTAAGATTAGAGTAAAGCCGAGGTCAAAGCATATTTGCCGCAAGCCACTTTCGGTGAAATTTCCCTCTAAGTGAGGACATACAGTTTTTTTATTTAGTTATACTGTTGGAGGTTTTGTTCCATTTCTCTATATAAGGAACGACAGTATGTCAGTGCACTGTGTACAGGCAGCTGCCTTGTTCATCAAAGAGCCAAAACACAAAATGATACTGATCTTTTTTCCAAGCTTGCACATATATAGTGCGTCCTCACCAAACAGAAGGGTAACCCTTAAAAGAGCCATGGTTAGCCTATGGTTTTGACTGATAGGCGCGGGATGCTACCACATGATGAAAACTAGTTACACAGTTGATCATAAATCGCTTTTCCTGCATATCCTACATCGTCGATCTACATCTAATGCCAGCTTAAAAAACACAGTTAATATCCAGAGCACACAGCATTTATCTCAGAAAAAAACCATGGCATCACATGGCATCCAAGTTACAGTATATCTGGTACTTATTGACCATATTGACATAAAAAGGGATTCCTCACTTGCAGATGTAGTTGGTCTTGCAGGATGCCTGCAGCTCCAGACAGTTGGGTTTCTGTTTCTCTTCATACGAGCAGACAGGAACGATGGTTTGACGTCTCCTTTCAGAGCATGCCGTTTGGTCGCTGAGCGGGCATGAGCAGAATAGCATGCCGTAACTGTGCTTGGGAGGAACCTGTGTGGCAAAAGAAACCACGACATTAAGGATAGAAATTAATTCCTTTATTAAGACCCGCATTATTACTCATATTTTAGCATTATTCTGCGCTACATGTTGTACTGTCTGTGCCTTTAGACACATTTTCTGGATTTCTTTCTTGATGTGGTCTGAAGTAGCTGTTTTCTATTCGTTTTGATGGATTGTTGTTGTTTTTTTTAACTGCTCCTAACTTTATTCAGTATTTATCGGTACAAACTCACCTTGCCGCAGCTCATTTGCAGCAAGATGGTTTAACATCGCTTCAATAAAGCATCAATCAAATCTGACGTTCAAGTTGAAAGAAAATGTAGATGTAACAAATGACAGTCGGACCACAATAGGAGAATGTAATGATACTTTAATCTCCAACACAAAGAAAAGCCTAACGCTCAAGGCTCTTTACGCAAAGACATCTCTATTATGATAAAATAAAGAAAAATTATACATCACACAAAGATTAACAATGTCACACTTTCTCTGTAACATTTCTATTTATTCATCTTGTTGCTTTGCAGAAGCAGTGCCAAGTAAAGTTATTCAAAAAGGGGCATCACAGAAGCTGGGTTGTAATTACAATGCTTCACATCATTTTTCACAATATGGAACAGACAGCAAAAACATCTTTTGTGTTTTATGACTGAATCAATGTCAAAGCTTGGCGCTGGAATAGCATACCCTGAACAAAAAGACCCACATGATTATTTATTGTGAGTTTGACAACCCCTCAAACTTATGCACTTCAAAATCGTTCTTTCTTTTGAAGCAGGTCCTTTGTGCTGGACATTCAGCTTTTATCAGATATCAGTCATTTGGAAAACCTCCAGTGTGTGTGTTCTTTTTCTTTCTGTTTGTTTTTTGATAAGCTCGTATCAGAAGTGCCTTGCCTTGTCAAAGAACTGCCGCAGGGCCTTGTGGCACTTCCTCTTGTTGCAGACTTCAGCTGTGGAGACGCGGCTGGTACAGGGGCTGATGTAGGCCGAGCGGTACTTCTTACACGTGTCGTTCAGGTTGCAGGCCTTAGCAGCATTGAGACAGTTGTTCTCTCTGGCCACTGCAGGTTCACCTAGTGACATAAAGGGGAGAGGAGACATCGGGGAGAGGAGAGGATGAAAACAAGAAAGAAGGGTTATAATCACAGAGGTCATCAAGCATGTGATGCTAATGCAAAGCAACCCAGAGATCACTAGAAAAAGCAGAAAGCGCTATCACTGCATAACTTATTGTCACATTCTTCATAAAAGTGACTGTGTGGGAGTGAGAAGGAGGACCCAGGTGCAGACACGGAAGGAGACGGAACTGAGTGTAAACAAAAGGCGAAACGTTTGTTAGGCTGAAAAAACATGAATACGAAAGCAAAGCAAGGCGAACAAGCGGCGAGAACTAAAACTAAAACCTAAACTAGGAGAACTAAACTGAGATAACTATGACATTAGACATGAACAAGATTCTGACCTGAGAAACTATAATGAGGAAGAAACAAGAACATGAAACATAAACATGACCTGAGCAGAATCATGAAACACAGGCACTGACATGGCGTGGTAGGAGGAAACACGGACGACCTGACGAAGACCGAATGAAAACACAGACTAAATACACACAGGAGGTGATCAGGGGAAGTGGAAACACATGGGGAAACAGCTGACTGGAATAAACATAATGACACTGTGGGGGAAGTAAAACTAAACACATGAAACATGGAAACACCAGACTTTTCAAAACTAAAACAGGAAACAATGAGAAACGTAGACATGACAACACCAGCTAGACACTTGAGACATAAAACACGTGGCGAGACAAACGCACAGGGATAAGTGAAAGTACAACACTGAGGACAAGACAGACCACATAGAGGACAGGAAAGACTCATAACTAAGGAGACGAACCTAAAGTAGACTTAAAACTCAAGAACTTAACATCCTTTCAACTGAACATAAGAAATCACAAATACAAAAATAAACTCAATATGCTGTGTCACAGACCCAGCCCCTGACACTTATTGTATAATGAACAAAGCATACGAATCCTCTGCATCAAAAACAATCACAACAATGCAATACATCATCAAATTAAAAGTGAAATGTATTAGCTTATGTAACACAACTGGTTTTCTTTAAGGCCATGTGAGGTGGCTTGTTTTCGGTCAACGAGGTTGTATCCTATCTCAGCTCCACATAAAAACACTTTAATTGTGGACCAAGACAATTAGCCAACTGTTCCAAAATAACTGCATTTTCATCTGGTGTAAGAGCTTACTCAGGCAAACACATACACAAGCCTGGCCTTTTTAATTTGCTCCAACAACATTTTATGCCATTCAAAGTATATTAATGAGTGAGAATTTCTTCCTCTGGGCAATTGGTGATCTAGCCTAGGTGCCAAATCTATGCTATGTGTGGACAAATTAACAGCGACCACAGGCAGACTAAAGGAGCTTAAACAAAGCTCGGTGCATAAAAGGGCATCAGCTGAGCCAACAGCACGGAGATCAGCTGGAGTGTTGCATAGCTTCCCTCTCTGGGCTGTTGAACTAATAAAGTTCAATTTGTTTGTGGAAAAACTGCATTAGGACATCATATCCTATTTCATTATTAACAATCAATACGTGTATTACACTAGAAATGCAGCATCTAATAAGCTCTATGGAGCACACAGATTACACCTACAGATCATTACAAAACCGAAGCATATCAGCTGCAAAGGTCTCTCAACAAGAGAAGTAACAAAAGACTCAGAGACAATGTAAGAAGCAGAGGGCCGGCAGTCTAATAATGTTTTCTCAAACGAAGCAGATAACCTCAGCAACACATTTTCAACCTACATCGGTGTTTGTGTGCCTTAGTGTTTCCATTTCTGTCTTTGGAAGTGTATGTGTGCATATGCTTATGCTAATTGTACAGAAGACCTCATTTGGAGTCTCACTTTCTGTTTAGCCTGTAACAAACAGTTGCCTTCATCTCCGTGGCCCTGCAGGCTAACAGGCATGCTTTTGTGAATGCATACAGTCGAGGTTCAGTACTTGTCACAGTCTCCAGTGCAGTGCATCGCCTGTCTGTCAGCCTGCACTAATTGCCAGGGTTGTCCTCAATCCACCATTAATTAACATTTTTATACACCCCCTAAAAATATTTTCTTAGGTTAAAAAAAAAGGAACAAAAACAGCATTTTTTTTCTTTATAACAGCGTCAATTAAAATGGGTGCAGCCCAGCGTGATAAACATACCGATGCTGCAGTGGGGGGGGGGGGAGGATGGTAAGATCTGTTATCAAGTCGACAAACCCATCGGCTGATGAGTGCCGTGTTGTCCTGAGCAAACTGTGTTAATGAGATTCAACACATCAAGGCGAGGGTGGAGGAAAAAAGAGGGAAGAAGATAAAAGGGACCCAGAGACATGTGGGGATATGAGCTGATAGTCCAGTGAGGTATTAATTGGCGACATGGTGCTGTTTGCTTTACTACAGAGGAGGAGATCCTTGAGGTGAATGCTTCCCAAAACCTCCAGCCGACTCAGAGGAAAACCAGTGCTGACTCACTCATTGCCAGTTTTTACTATTTCTTTGCTTTCATGCCTTCACCTTACCTTTCACCTTTTTCTTCCAACATGGAAAAACAACAAGCTTTTCCATTTACAAGACTTTTCCCCCTCTCTGTTTGACCTGCCTCATTTGGTCCACACCTCCCTCTGTTAGTTTTCAGGCTCATTTGGCGGCATTAATTACAATGTATGCAATTTGTTTTGGTTTGAATGTTTTTGACAATTTTATATTGGAATCAAGTTTGAATTGCTTCATTGATTATTAATTTAGTTTTAATGCTGTGTGTATAAATGTCTAAACTATGAATAGTGTTATTGTACATCATCCTAAACAGGTGCATTCTCTTCTTTGTCTGCTATTAACATGATACTGTAACAACTCATAATAAAATTCTATCCATCCATCCATTCTTATCTGCTTATCCAAACTAGGGTCCCAGGGGTGCTGGAGTCTATCCCAGCTAACATAAGGCAAGAGGTGGGGTACACCCTGGACAGGTTGCCAGTCTGTCACAGGGCTAACACAAAGAGACAGACAACCTTTCACACTCACATTCACACCTATGGGTAATTTAGAATCACCAGTTAACCTAACTGCATGAAGGAAGCCGGAGTACCCAGAGAGAACCCACAAGGACACTGGGAGAACATGCAAACTCTAAACAGAAAGGCCCAGGAATTTATTATTTTTTTTTATCTTGCTTTTATTACAGAGTGTTTTATGATCTTATTCTTTCTGTTTTATTTGCATAAACAAAGAGCCATGTTTAAGACAAATTTCTATTCAGTTACTGGCTACTGTTTTAACCCTGTCTCAAAGATGACTTCTGTTATAATGATAAGTCTGACCTAAGCCCCTAAAGATATTAGGACTTAACCGCAGGAACAGGGGACAAGACACAGTCACTTTCAGGTATTTCTTTTACACTCTGAATGGTTCTGTGACATCTATAGGGAAGATTAGAGACAGCATGTCTAGTTGAGGCTGGATATTCATTCACTGTACCCCATTTCATTTATAGTCATTTTAAATATAGCATGAGAACAAAGACCTGAAAAATGAATCACTTCCAGTACTGTAAAATTTGCTTTTCTAACATTTAAATGGCATTTTTATGTCACATGTTTCTTTTACATGATTGTTTGTGCTTTTAACTCCCCCGTATCACCCCCACGTCTACACAATCAAACATGTGAACTTTTTTTTCCTTTCACTTGCTCAGATCAACTGCCTGACTCCAAAGTGTCCAATCTGTAGTTGCCCCATGCACTGCTTTAAGAGGTTTGTTTTTTCCCTTGTTTATGTTCAACTCTATTAGTAAAAACTGATGTAACTTAAAAAAAAAAAAAAGCTTCACAAAGCTTCATTTTAGAAAGTCCAAGACTTTTGCAGTTTAGGAGGCTTGATCTAAACTAGAATTAAGTATAAAAAGAGCCTCTTGTTCTCTAATTAGATTCACAAGTTATTTTTTTAACGTGTTCTCATCAAAATAGAGTTTTTAATGTTAGGGACGCAATATTTCCTGAAGGAGAAAAAAAAAAAAGCTTGTGTTGTAGGATTAGTACAAATCAAGACTTTTCAAGACCCTTTGAGGTTGAAGCCAGCTAGTATTTTCAACTATTATGCCTGCCTTAATAAAGGCTTTTAATGTACTTTGGATCCTTACTCTGGCTCAGAGCCTGAATCGTTTTTTGATTTTTCCTAGCATTTAGCTTCAAAAGTACTAGAATTATTCATGGACTAATATTCATGGACGATATATATACATGTATAGAGGTACAGCTGACTGAACCCTTTCCCTCTGAATTCCTTTTTCTTTTCATCAGATATATTACTTTTGCTTTGATATCTCTCATCTGAGCCTGCATCCGCCATAACAGCACATGATTGACAGTCCCATGGACTCTTCTCCCTGACTAGATGAACACGCTACTTATTCCTCTGCCATCAGTTGTCTGATTTTCGGACCGTAAAAATATGGCACCTGTTCAGACAGCATCAAATTTCTGCCTAACTATTCCCTCAGATGAGTTTGTGAATACATCTGAGCCAAGAAATAGGTCATGCACTTGGAAAATTGGGCTTTGTTTTACATCTGTTAAACCGTGTTTAATTGTTTGTTGACAGGCACTTTCAAGTTGCAGCACAGTATGTCATCATCTAAACACTTCTTAGTGAAATCCGAACACACCTGATGTGCTCTGGAATTATGAGACTTAAATGTATCTGCTCCATAAGGAAAGTGACAATTCTGACTAGTTCTACGGTATTCTAGATGTTTGGACTTTCAACAATTAGTCAGTGTTTGACTGGTTTCGAATGCATTTTGAAACATGACAACCTAACGTACACAAGATTTTCCTGGCTCAAAGTGGGTCTTTGAGGGGTGAATGAGCAAATAAGGCAGTCTGCATGTAGTAAAGGCAAAGTATCTGTGTTAGCTTACTTAATTGAAATCTGTGTAAACTAAAACAATTTAGTTATTCCAGGCAACACTAATATATTCAAAAGAGAACAGCTTTATT